TGTTGCTTTGAATTTACTCAACTCAGTTAAGTGGAACCAGGTCACATAACATGGTTAAGTAAATCCAACATTTCATTTTTAGAGTGATGTTTCAAAAGGGACAAATGGCCTCAATCAGAGTAAACATCCAAGAAGATTACTACAACCACTAAAATCGGGTGGGGGTGGGGGTATTATATAAAAAACCATATAATTCCAATAAAAATAAGATTTCAAAAAAGAAAAAAGAAAAGAAAAATCCATAGAAAAAATGTTGGTAATACTAACTGACCTGAAATGCAAAAAGTGATTGATTTCACATCAGACCAAACTTTTCCCATTTTAGGTCAATTAGGAATACCAATTTTTTTCCATTTTCTAAATTCTAGACTAATGAGATTTTTAAAAGGCAATTTTTATTACTTTCTGCAAAGTCAAAAGTTTAAATACACTAAGATTACTATGTCTTTAAACAATTTAGGATGTCATGTCTTTGGAAGCTTCTGATTTTATTGCTAACATGTGAGTTAATTAGAGACACGTAATTTAGGGCACACCTGAATCACATTGCTTCCTTGTGTAGCATCATGAGTAAAAAGAAATCAGCCAACAAATCAGAAAGAGAATTGTGGAACTGTGCAAGCCTGGTTTGTCCTTGGGTGTAATTTCCAGATGCCTGAAGGTTSTCTGTTCATCTGTATAAACAATTATACACAAGTACAAACAAGGTGGGAATGTCCATCCATCATACCACTCAGGAAGGAGACAGGTTCTGTGTCCCAGAGATGAACGTGCTTTAGTCTGAAATGTGCATCAACCAAAGAACAAAAATAAAAGACCTGGTGAAGCTGGAGTCATTATCCACAGTGAAACGAGTTCTSTATCAACATGAGCTGAAAGACCACTCTGTCAGGAAGAAGCCATTAGATGCATAAAAAAAGCCAGATTAATATTTGCAAATGCACACAGGGACAAAGACCTTAATTTTTAACTGACAAAACTAAAATTGAACTGTTTGGCCTTAATGGCCAWCTTTACATATGGAGGAAAAATGGGGAAGCTTCCAAGCTTGAGATCACCATCCTGACTGTGGAACACGGGGGTGGCAGCATTATGTTCTGGGGTTGTTTTACTGCAGGAGGGATTGGTGCATTTCACAAAATAGATGTCAAAGAACATTATGCGGAAACACTGAAGCAACATCTCAAGACATCAGCCAGCAAGTTAAAGCTTGAATGAAAGCTTGAATGGGTCTTCCAATGAGCTGATGCATACTACCAAACAGGTTACAAAGTGACTTTCAGAAAGAACAAAAATTGCCTTAAATTCTCTCTCTCTCTCATTATTCTGGCACTTAACAAATAGAAAACATTTTTGGTAATCCTAACTGACCTAAAATGGGAAATGTTTATTCTGATTTCATGTCAGACCGTGTGAGAAAAATGCACGTGTCTTTAGTGTATGTAAACTTTTGGTTCCAACTGTCCTTCTCAGTCCAGTCATTTTTGGATTTAAAAAAAGTGAAATGTTTTCTTAGATGCCACAGAGACTTCTGTCTTGTAACAAAAAGTTGTAAATGGCATGAAGCTTTGTTGTGAAGACATGCTGAAGTGGGAGTGTCAGAAATGGTAGTGGGCTCTCAAASCGGCAGGGATCAGTTTCAAGGTGTTTAGATAGACWAYGATGAAAAATCAAATTTATTTTTGATWTACAGCATTTTCACAACAACTGAAGGTAACATAGTTACTTGATTGTGGTGTAGAATTGAACTATGTGCCTGTACATAATCTCCAACGTGTTAGCRCATTATTAAAAACTGGAGGACAGTGAAGAAACATCATGTTTGAGGAAGGAATGTGATCTGAAAAAAACTGAATGATCCCAGTCAGTGCACAATGGGAACCCAAGGAATTGAAGCTAATCAAATGGTAAATGGTCTGAACTTATATTGTGATTTATCAAGTCATTTATTCACATACTGATGGTGGTAAGCTACATTGTAGCCATAGCTACACATGGTTTGACCACCACGGAGTAAGATAATGTGCCATTAACTGAGGAAAACCCACTTCACAGTTTAAAGAACCTGAACCTCACTGAGAATCTTTGGGATGTGTTGGAGAAGTTTCTGCACAGTGATCTGAATCTCCTGTCATCAATACAAGATACAGGCAAAAAWTTAAAAGACTGGACAGAAAAGAACTGGTGTGACTTTGCAAAAGCTTGTGAAAATGGTGCCACAGTGAATCAACATCGTAATGAAAACACCAAATGTGGTCCAACCAGATACTGTGTTAGGGAGTGACCTTTTTTTGGCCGAGCAGTATATAAGAAGCAGGAAACATTACGGCAGGAAAACATCATGTCACTTTGCATTTGTGTGGTCTTGTTTGGACAGAAAATTTTTTATGGAAGTATTGAAGCACCATCATTATTATCAAAGTGTTTTCTTCAAATTAAAAMTTTGCTTCTCCTGCATTTTTGAAAAACCCTACAGAACTACACCAAAAGGTGCAGCTGAGTCTGCCACAGTGAGTCGTGCCTTTGTACCAGCACATTGTGCAGTGCAGATAAAATTCATAAAAACTGAAACATTTAAATTTAGACATTCAGGGGATTTTACTGAAGCAAATGGAAGACCTGTTGTTTTTTAGAGCTTTAACGTTCAGACATCTTTCCCAGAAATATCATTTAAATGTTAAACAAGTGACAGAAATGATTGAACAAACTTTTTTAATTTTACCACAGAATATTGGATTTAAGATTTTTTTAAACACACAAATGAGTCATATCTTATTAAAGAGCTATTCCATGTTTTATTTTACATTTGATAAAACTGGATTGTGTTGTATTTTGTGAGGATCCATGTCTGCAAGTTTGTTTTGTCCTTTTAGTGTCTTTATTATCCTTGTGTCTGTGCTTTATTTTCCTGTGTTCGGCTCCCTTTGTGTAAGCCTGCTCATGCCCCGCCCACCTGTTCCTTCTTGTCTTTCCTCAGGTGTTTGTCATTCACTTCATCAGAGTCCTCCTTTAAATGTTTGTCTCTACCTGTGGCTCCAGTAGAGGAGCATTAAGTGAACTTTAGTTCCACCGTCCCAATCCTCCCTGTGTTTTCTCTTGTGGTTTTTGTAAGAAGAGTTTTTGCTGCCTTGACATCCCTTTTGTTTCCTTTTAATAAATCAGTTTTTCCAGCTTTACCGGAGCCTTTTGAGTTCGTGCTTTCTCTTGGGTTTCAACTCACCACTGATTGTGACAGCTTTAATGAGAAAACATTCAGAAACGGTGTCTCTTGTTACGGCTGACTGATATTCCTCTGTGGCTCAGTTATAAATAGGTATTGTGTCATTTTCTGTTTTRTGTCAGAGTTTACAGTTTTTGGTACATGAGCGGAAAGCCTGTCAAAGAGTCAGCAGCTGTCAAACCTGGACTGAACGAAAAGGTAACAAAGGAGGCTCCTGATTACAGGAACAACTTGCCTGTCCTGTTARTCCAGTAGAAACTTACAGGAAGTTTATTTTTAAATAAGAATCCATGAAGTTAATTAGTAGAATTAAAACAAATACCTGACACRTCCTTCTTTACTTTCAATACAATGTTTTGAGTCTCATCAAATCCAACAATGGACCTCCTTTCTAAGATGGCAAAAATCACGAGATGTGAAGAGACATTTCTCCAGAAATGCTGTTAGAATCATGTCCTGTCTTTAAAGGTCTGGATAATAATGAAGTCCATCAGATGCTACATTTACACATGCTGATGAAAAAGTTGTGCTTCTGAGAACATTGCAGGAAAAACTAAATAATTTTTGAAATGGTTGCTGTATAAAACTGTATAATCAGCTGAAACACAGCAGGTTTCTGCAGGAAGACCACAAAGAACTGGTGGATATAATCTTTATACTCACATGTACTGTCCAGTCAACTATCCCTTATTACAGATAGAAATGAAAATAAAAAAAAAACCTTTAAAAAGATTTGATAATTTTCACTGGAGTTGAGTCTTCACTGACTGACTCTGATTCCATGACATATCTTTCATAACAAATGTTTTTAATGATACAAGATTGTTATTATAAAAAGCAAAATTTGACTATCAAAGATATTTGCTTGAATCAGTTCTTATTTTTATGATAGTACGTGTTATTCTTTAGTAATATCATCAGAAAGCATAATAAATATTCTGTTATGCTGATGATACACCTGTGTACTACAAAACTAAATGGTGGTAGGAACCACAAATGCATGAACAATACTTTTTAAACGTTTATTAGAACAAAAACTATCGTCCTAAAAATGAGTGCATTATCAAAGTGGGGAGCTCTCTCCCTGGGTTGAACATGAGGTCATAATTCTGTCTCACATTTAAATGTTGAAACATTTTTTTCCACTTTATAAATTTGAAGTAAAATCATTCACATCTCAGATCTCATAAGCACCTTGGTTTAAAAACTACTGTGATGCCAAGGCTGTTGGATGTAGGAGTGCGGGGGTGCTACAGCACCTTCTGATGGATGCCAGAGGACATTTATGTCCAAACACACAGTTTAAAAATATAGGGAATAGGAGTATATATTTTGATTTTGAGTTTAACAGATTTATAAAGTTTATAGGTTTATAAATTAACACTTCCAAATGAATCACATTCTCATGTTGGTTTTTGAGGTCAGAAGTTTTTGATTTCTGGAGGTGTTCCAGTTGATTTTCTTCAACTTGGATTCTTGGAACTTGGAGGTTTTGACTTCTGAGAATAAATAAGACTAACCTGACTAAATGTTTTGACCAGAATGACCTATTTGTTTTACATTAGCTTTAAAAAGTAATTCTTTCAGACTATATTATTCCTGTTTTAACCTGTGTTTTCTTGATGTTTTAAATTAGTGTTTTATGATAATTTTCATCACATTTATTTTTGCATTAACTAAGTGAAGAAAATGATGATTGATTTGTTTGTAGTTTTCTTTAAAGCTCTTTGAGCTGCAACCACTTGGATAAAATTAGTTTGTTATAAAATGCTCAGGTGAAAGTGTGAGTACTAGAAAATGTACTCAACAAATCTTTGTTTGACAGCTTTAACTTTAGCTGATTCAAAAACGTTTTAACGAGGTACAATCTTTATTTAGTGTTTTAACTTTGCAGGAAAAGCTCCCATTTTAAAGTCAGGTAAGTTTCCTGCTGTTTAAGTTACAACATTAAGTCTCTTTGTGCTCTTTTTGTGTTTGCTCACATTTCCGTTGTTGTTGTGTATTTAAGGAGACATTTTTTCAAGTTACATATTTCAAATTTTTTGTAAATTACTTCATGTGCAATCTCATGATTCAGCAAGATTTTTTTCTTATAGCATGTGTTGAGGTTGACTTTAAGCTACTATCAGAACAGGTTTTTTAACATTTATTTTAGTTTTTTTTTGGGGGGTGTTACAGGGGCTGTTTAAGAAAACTTGCATCTGTAACTTTTTGTCAATTTTGCATTTGAGGCTCTTGGAGAGTGACATTTTACTTTCCTGTACATGGACAAATACTTCCTCTTCTTCGTGAAACACCATCTTACCATGGTGGAGGAGTCCATGTGCCTGAATGATCCCTGAGATCTGCTGTCAGGGCCAAATGTACCTGGTAGAGTCTCCCAAAGCAGATTGAATCTTGGTAACAGTTTAGACAAACCCACCAGCACAGCTTTACTGGAGGAAGCTGAGTCGGCGGACTTGGGGGTTGTGAACGAGGTAGTCGAAAAGCTCTGCAGAAGCAGGGTGAGATCTGTCCTGAGTTCCTCAAGGTTCTGGATGTTGCTGTTGTTTTGCAACRTTGTATGGACATCAGGGGCAGAGCCACTGGATTGGCTCTGGGGTGGTGAAGGGGAACCGGAGGGTGTGCTCCAGCTGTGGGGGTATTATTCTCATTAGCTTCCCCAGTAAGGTCTGTTCAGGAGTTCTGGAGAAGAGAGWCCAAATAATGATTTGAACCTCAGATTCAGGAGGAACAATGTGGAAGCTGTCCTGGCTGTGGAACACTGGACCAGCTCTTTACCCTCACTAGGGTTGTCAAGGAGTCATGGGAGTTTGCCCATCCAGTCTACATCTAAAGCTGGGGTGAGCTTTTCATTTAACCCAATAAAACATTGATTTCTTCATGTCTCACTGTGCTGACACTGTTGTTTTTGAACAACAGGGACACCTGGTGGCCAAAATATATGAAACATGTCATGTTTGTCAGGATGAAGATCAGAACAAATGTGTTTTCTAGGATCTGACCTGTCAGRAGTGCTGAGCCTCCAACGTCTATCTCATCTGCTTCCTGCAGGTTTCACTCTCTGCTCGCTGTCTGAGCTGCTGGTGAAATAAAAAGAAAAAAATGAAGCTATTTTCTACTAGCCTGGTGAAAAGCAGCCCCTTGTTCTTCTCTTTGCTTCGTACAGAGGGTCTGGAACCTCAGATATTGAGAAGCGATTACTTGCTGCAGGTGTGGACTCTGTTGAAGCTTAAAACGACTGGATCTGATTTACCCAACTGCTAACGTTTGCCATGACGTATGCAGTGTGCCAGCTAAACTGTGAAGGAGGCTAAGCTGGTCACACTTGGGAGTTTGATTTTAATAAACAGATTTGAAAATTTGTCTGTAAGCACCTATACCTGTTCTCAATGAAAACCCTTTATTTGATGATGTATGTATTGTTTTTTAGAAGTGTTAAGTAAATTTCATTATTATTGTTTATATGCTACTTTGTTGTGGTGGATGTAACAGGTCTTTCTTGTAAATGAGATAAAGAGTTTCAAGAGATCTTCCTTTATAAATAAAGGAAAAAAAGCTAAGAAGCTAACCGGAAATTGTGTACGCTGTAAACAACCACAACTACAGGCAGACTAAAATGGCACAGAAAGTCGACAACATCGTTCACAACTCCTCCTTCTTTTCACTAATTGACCTGGTTAAAATTCTACCAGTGAAATCCTTSTYTATGGKAGAAGTCCYAAACGGAGCAGTGAAGGGAAACTAGAATTGAGTGGAACTGCGTAGGAAGRCAAGGSCCAGGCTATAGCTGTGGTCAGAAGTTTCCATCCACTCATCATGAGTGGGAGTGTTTTATTAATAGCAAAGTTTTATGATTTATTTGAACCATTTGTCTTCTAGGGTGGAACGATTATAAAAACATACATTTTCTGTGACTTTTAAAAGYAAAAGTTAGGTGTACAAGTTCAAACTTATCGTAGATTTTATGAATTGTTGCTGATTACAAAAAGCTGTTTGAAAATGCTAAAGAATATTTATCCATTGATTAAAGGGGGTGACTGAAACAATCATGGAATTAATAGTGGCATGTGAAAGAGACAGCGTTATGAAGGTTTATTAAATAGTGTTTGAATTGTTTTGAAATATTTTGGTGGCTTTATGAAATCTTCATTCTGACAAGATGTTAACTTCTCAGTCGTTTTTCCAAACTGACATTGTTCAAAGAGCTGTCTATAACAGGTAAGATAGCAACTGTTCATGCCTGTCCCACACAACCCCACTTCAGATTTGCCTGAATGTCCCTTTAAAGAAAAGCTGTAATAATAAAATAAAAATCGCATTCAGTTGTTGCTGTACAGCATGCAGTCTGGCAGAGGTCAACCTTTTATTTTTAGGTCACCAGGTGCCAAAAATACAACCTGAGCAGGAAAACCAGGAAGCAGCATTTAGAAACAGGCCAGTTTGTTTGAAGAGAAGTAAAATATGCGCAAAATATTAAAGTGTGTAGTTCGTTAGAGCTGCTGGCAGGTTGTAGTTGGTGCCTGAATAAATATGAATTATTGAATAAAGATAATCTGGATCATTTTTACAATTCAGTTTCTTTTTGTTGTTAAGTCTCAGATCCTGACATTCAGCAGTATAATTTCAGGGTTTTGGTTTATGCTGCCAACTTCAAGGACCTTTGACTTAATGTTTTAAAGGGGACTTAATATGCAAAATTCACTTTTTTCAGTTTTTTTTACTTGTGTCTGTACTGCTTCTAAAAACAGTCCAAGCACCAAAATAAATAAATAAATAAATTAATTAATTAATAAATAAATAAATTTTAAAAATGCACACAGAGGTATTTTTACTAAGTAAAAGTATTTGTTTTGTGTCTTGAAATGACCTGTTTTCAAACACCACATCACAAACAGAACTCCAACCCACCTGAGCCCAGCCTCTCACCAGGTAACCCAAGCGGAGACTCCGCCCACTTCTTCACAGGACGGTTCTGCTGTTTTTAGAACAGTCATGGAGAACAGAGATTTGTGCCTTTAAATAACAAACATGCATCCAGTACAAATGGCTTATTAGGCTTGCTTATAAAATATGAGGATATTGTCTTTATTGGATTGAACAGATTCCTCTTGAGATTTACCAAAGTATGATTTTGATAAAAAATTTTAACATCAGCTGGAAAAAAAAACTGGACTGTTTGTCCTGGTTTGATCCTGCAATAAACCCATGTCTGGGAAAATAAAACWGAGTCTTCTCAAAGATTATTCATCAGAAAAGATTTCAAAATTTAAACACCTGGTTTTCAATTGTTSTGAACTGCTGTTGTTATCATCCACTACACGGTCATAAAACACTTTTGAAGTGATAGTTCAGATCTCTTGAAGGGGTTTCTGTGGAGAAATTCTGAATATTTAGTATCTTACCTGTTGCAGACAGCTCATTGAACAAGCTCAGTTTGGAAGAGGTTGGAAGTTGTTCAAAGATTGGTTTACAACAGGCAAGATTATTAAATGTCAGGTTTCTTCTGCAGAAACTCACGTCAGATGATAATAGTTGTCTCTTGAAGCTGCTGCCACCTACATGATCCAGGTGTAAATGTGATRATGTAGATGTTTGGGACTCATTAAGGATGGGGTAGAAAACCATGGTTTGGCTTAAACAGGTTATTTAGTGTCAGGAAATATAAATTGTAACAGGTTTTGCACATCCTCATATTTGTTATTCTGTCAGCATCACCCTATAAAGATTTCCCTGTTAATGTTGTCCAATGAATCAGTGTTTATTTCATGTATGGACTGAAATGAACTTATTTAATGATTTATTAATGCAGACCCCAAAGTGCTATACACTTACAGACATTCAMCCATTCACACACACATTCACACACTGATGGTAGTAAGCTACGGTGTAGCCACAGCTGCCCTAATGTAGAAAAATAACATATTTCAGCCTTTAAATCAGCTCCTCCCACTGACCATATAGCATGTCCTACAAATAAAGATAATAAATAAACATTTTTTTAAATTTATTCTTTAAATGCAGTGGAAATGAACTTTGAAAGCAAAGCTGACCTTTATAAATCAGGAGTAATATTTTCCAACAGATATTGTACTCCAACACACCCGTTCAAGCTGGTAAATGGTGAAAAGGTGAGATTTGTTGAGATTACACAGTGAGTACATAAAAGAGTTAATGTGGGTGTTTTCTTTCAGGACATCTTTCCACAAACAAACAGACAACAGGTACAAGAACATAAATTAGACCAGAACATGTGATGGATATACAGTTGAATAAAGGAACAGATGCTTCAGTTAATCTGTGTTCTCAGTTTAGTATGAACGGATCCCAGCCGGTCTGTAGACTTGTTGTGACGGGGTTCTGGATCCAAAATACCTCTGGTAGGCCTGCTGGAAGCCGAAGCGAAATGCGTACAGGCGGCAGGGAGAGTAGTCYTCACAGGTCTCTGCACGGACCTCTGACAGAGGCTTCCTGTTCCTGCAGGAGGACCAAGAGTTTTCATATCATCACTTTTGTGTTTCTGACTCTGATGTTTCAAATTTATTAAAATAATCAAAAAGATTAAAGGTCTAATTTGTGTTTAGAAAAATAGATCTTTTGAAGAGGAGTTCAGTGGAAAAGTTATGAACAGTTCTTATCTTACCTATTGTAGATAGTCCTTTGAATGGTTTCAGTTTGGAGAAATTAAGAATAATTCTGACAGGACAGAGGAGTTTATGGCTAGTCTAAAWARGGCCAGAAGCACAATAGATTCCAGCTGTCCTAAAACTAACCTGTTCTTAAAATGTCAAATCCATCCGTCCATCCGTCCGTCCATTCGTCCATCCATCCATCCATCCATCCATCCATCCATCCATCCATCCATCCATCCATCCATCCATCCATCTCCACAGAGACACTCTCTCTCCAGCTCCTCCTGGAGGATCCCAAAGATCTCAGACCAGAGATGATTCATGATCCCTCCAAAGTTCTAGGTCTGCCTCAAGACTTTCTCTCAGTGGGATGTGTCCAGATGAGGGAAGGTGACTCATCCTAATCACATGCGTGAACTACCTCAGCCAGCTCCTTTTGATGTGGAGGAGCAGCACCTCTACTTTCAGCTCCACCAGGATCATGGACATCCTCACCTTATCTCTAAGGCTGAGTTCAGCCACCCAACAAAGGAAGTTCACTTCATCACTCATGACTGTAAGTAAGAGTTGGGACAGTAAATCAAGAACTTAGCTCTTTATTGGCCACAAACCAAAGTGATGCTCTTATTATTTCAGAAGAGACCCCGGTTTCATCTCATGCCATTATGAGAAAGACGATGTTTGAACTCCGCTCCAGTTTTTTTACTAGTTGAGAACCAACACGTGGAAATAATACTTCTATTTATGAAATTTCTATTTTATAAATATATTTTCCACATCTCTGTCAGCTTTGCATTGAAGAGTCATTACTACAGAGACACTGATATTCCAGCAGAAAATGCTCCACAAGTGCTGAACCACAAGTGCTACAGCTAGCTGCTGCTGCCAGTGTTTCATCTGACAAACATTATAGTTCTATTTAACCTCCTGAGACACATGCTTTTGTTTTTTGTGCATTTTGTTCTTTCTCTAGGGTGCATTAATATGTTTTTTTGCAAAAAAAAAACCCTATTGTCCTCATATGAGGACATTGGGTCACATTTGTGGAGGAATAGTTTAGCCACTAAAATGTGAAACTTGAGAAACTTYATGATAGCCTTTCTGGGTGTACAATTTTCTTGGTTATTTTGGCAGTACAGCAGCCCGACGTTGATCAGTGCAAGATCAGTGAAGTGCATCACCATTATCATCATCATCATCATCATCAATGACAACTTTCAGGGTTTTTGTGTGTGTGTTTTACCTCATGAAGATGTTGAAGCGGTTCCTGCTGGGTGAATTGTAAATGGTGTTTCCTCTCGGTGGCATGAAYGAGTGCGCACGGTTTCGGGGCAAAAACAAATCTGAAACCGAAACACTTTCATTAAACAACAGAGCCTTGTTTTCATGATGTCATGCAGGTCGACCGTATTGACCGGGAGCAGGTGAAATATGGACTGAGGGATATGTTAGTGGAGGGAAAATGATGATTAAATGCTCTGGATTGAACAGGCAAGGCTGTTAGAACTGCATGCATGTTTTTCCAACACTGAGATTTTTTAACATTTAATCACCTTCAGCGGACTCTGTGCTTTCACGAGAATCTATGGGAAAAACATGGAATCGGGTTAATCATGAGCGACGCCTGAATGTGGTCAATTATAGAACATAAACTGCTGAGTGACAGCGGGGGGGATTCAGAGAGGCAAGGATCTATACCATAACAGACACAGAGAGAGACGGCAGCACAGAGCGCCAGAAACCGAAGGAGGCTCCTCATCTTGGGGCTTCTCTTCTGCCTCGCTGCTGACAAACAGAAAAGAAATGATCAGTGAGATGTGTTGACTGTGAAGTGAGAGGAAGAGACAAAAACAAAAAAACGAGTGGTGGGGGGGGGGTAGAGTAATTGTCTCTTTAAAAAATAATCAGTAAACAAGAAAGCTTAAGACTGGGCCAGATAGAAAAGTTTCCAGATCACATTTCTGTCTTTATTTATGTGATTTAGAAGCAGAGACTTAAATAACTGTTTACATGGTTTATTCTGCTCCATATCTGCCAGGTTTCTGTGGACAGTTTGAAGAGAGAAAACACAAGACTCTGTATTCATTCAGCCAAAGTAGAGGCAGAAACCTTGAACTGGACTCAAACTGATCAGAGCACTCTGTCCAAAGTTTGTTTGGAAGCATTTAAAGCAGAGGTGGGAAAAGGTTTGACTTTCCACTGATTTTCAATTTATCATCGAGATCAAAGAGTCAAACTTTGGACTGAAACAGAAACAATATGTCACCCAGACCTGTCATATATAACATCATATATTATCAGCAAACACACACATTCTGCTATACTGTTAACAACAAACATCTAACATTTGTTGCTCATTTTTAAATTTATTTCTTTACAGCTGACATGGTTGTAAATACAATAACTTTCTCTTATTACGGAGGATGGGAAATATTACTTTCCAAAAGGACAGTTTATGTTTAATTAAAGGCCACAAACTGGACTGAAACTTAAGCAGGTAAATCTTCCTGCATCTGTTTTTTGTTGCCTATTAATTAATCCAAGCTGACATGAACAAAGGGCCTTTTCTGACCTTGAGACGTATTTTCTCCACGTGTGTTTTGGAAAATAGTTGTGGTCGAAAAAAATCTGCCAACGAACTGTATCCAAACTCATTCTGCTGAACAGGATGTAATTAAAACCTGCAGCTGTTGTTCATCACTCAAAACATGCACAATGCATGTGTCTATGTCTGTCACTTTAATGTTCAGTCACATGAATGAATGATCAGAGGTGAGCGATGGGACACCTGATGTCACCAGTCTGGCTGCTCATTTGTCWGTGGTGCAGACCAGCCTCCATCACCATCTCCTGCTTGTGGGTTTGGCTGGAATTCTGCTTCGGCATGTTCTTCTCTTCAGCATCAATAGCTGCTTTCATTGAACAGGAGCTCTCACACACACATAAAACTCATAGACCTGCACGTARCCACACACGCTGCACAGCATCTCTCAGCCAAATGAACAAACCTAAAGCCCAGAATTTAAAAGGYAACTTTAAGTACCTCACAAGGACATATGTGTGTGTTAACGTGTGACAAGATGTGCACAGATTTGCTTCTGAGTCCTTATAAAGGTTGGAGGGTTCTTTTGTTCCTGCAGGCAGAATGAGTCCTCTTTGAAACTTGTCATGCAAAGAGTCAACCTGAGGAAAAAAGCTTCTTTATTCCCACAGACGTGCTATATGTTTGTTTTCACATTATCTCTAAAATAACAGAACAAAATCACAATACAGTTATTAAATTAAATAAAAGAAATGCATTCAAATTAAACTAACCTAAGTTCTAGCTTTGCACAATTAGTTTTAAGAAATCATTTTTGCATGTTGTCAAAAACTCACCGTAAAACGGGGATGGAGGGAGAGGTTCAGAAGTCTCAGTAATTTCTCCTGAGGAATATTTCCTCATGCTCCAAAGCCAACCTTATATACACTCATCTCACCCCTGACCCCCGCCTCCCTCCAGCCCTCCTCCCCTCTATCAGCCCTCTTTTCCAACATTTAATCGTGCCGAGGGTATTAGCTCACTGTCTCTCCACTCCTACGCCCTGGTGGAGCAGCACAGAACTGTGGCTGACAGAAAGCCCCAGAGGAAAACAAGCAGGGAATAAACAGGGACAGAGCGGGGAGGAGGGGGAGGCCTGGCACAAAGTCGCCTAATCTGTTTTATAGCAGGTATGTGACAGGATTCGCCCCCATTCACCACCATGGCAGCATGGCATGAAAAGAAACATCAACCGTATAGAAACAACACCCAGCTGCTCCACCTTTGACCAGATTTTATTTGAAGTCAAATAGATCTGGAACATCTTCACGCTGCGATACTCGCAGCAGCATTTGCTCAACAAATAAAAACTGCAAGAATTACAGGTGATGAATGACAACATAACGAAACAAGTTCATCAGTGGAGACGTTGCACTTATTAAAAAACTGGATATTTCCCATCAATCAATTTGATCCTGATGATGAGGTTTTGCATCTGTWAGCATGAACAAATTTGTTTTCAAGCCTGATTTAAAAGTAGCCAAAGGGTTGATGTGGTGAATATCTGGTTGGAGAGATATCCAGAGGTGAGTTGCAGATCGACTGGATGCTTTGCCTCCCATAGCACTCGGAAAGATGGATGAAGACGACCCGAGAGAGCAGGATATCGAAGTGGACAAGTTCAGACAGGTGTGACAGATTGGTTTTAAAGGCAAGAAGCAGCATTTTGATTTGAGTGTGGTAARTAATGAAAAACCAYYGAAGTTCTWGAAGATCAGCAGCAATATGTTTAGCAGATATCAGAACAGGGACAGGCACAACACTCAACAGGAACAAGCAGCTTTAAAAAACGAACAGGACAGATTTCTGAAGTCTTTTAATGTTTTGTTCTACAAACAAATGAAACCAGTCCAGACCAGCGGTTCTCAATCCTGGTCCTCTTGGGCCACTTWCCTGCATGTTAGAGGAAACAGTTGCCCCTTCATATCAGACAGGCTTCAACTCTTAGTGTTTTAAGTCTCACCTTAAAACACGTCTGTTTTCCAAAGCTTTTAATTCAACATGAGAGTTGGCTATTTCCACTTTTAAAGTTTTGTTGTTTTATGTTTATATTTTGTACATATTATTCTTAATTTTGTATTCTGTTTTTGTTTCTCCTCAGGTTGTAACATGTGAAGCATTTTGGCCAACGGCAGTTGTTTTTAAATGTGCCTTATAAATAAAGTTGACTTGACTCTTTAAAAGGCAWGGACAGGGCTTTTAGGGTGGCAAGCATCAAAACCATCAAAGAACAAAGGGCAGCACTCATGAACATGCTGCAGCTCCACCTCACGTCTTCAGAACACTTACGATAAAGTTCATGTGAACAGCATCTCTGTAGAAACGATGAGAGTTATGTAACCTCACATCACACTGACCTCAGTCAGGAACTGTGTGAAAGCAGACCTGAAGGTAAACAAACCAGAAATGGCAACACTATAAGCCAGGAAACAGCAGGAACCAGACAGACAGATAAACATTRAGACATGAAGAAAAACCTTCTATCAGATAAGAAAACCTGGAACAAATAAAAGCAGAGTCAGCTGGAGGGAGAGAACGCTCACATTGTTGTGGTTGGATGGTTTAATCGTTGTGGTAAAACACAAGTTTGTTTCCACACCAAATATGAAARTTTCATTTTCCACAAGTAGAACAACACAAAGATCATCATGAGGCCAGATCTCAGTCTAATTGTAGAAGGAATTTAAATTCAGTCATTTTTAATTTATTTATAATGAGTTGRGTTGGGGTGATAGTTTAAAAAGATTGGTACAAAAGCTTATTTTCTATCGTTTTCCTGATGTGTACCTAGAAGAGATCATATTTCTCCAGTTTTAGCTTCTCTCCACTGGCTCCCTGTCAAATTCAGAATTTAAAATATTACTCCTAACATACAAAGCTCTCAACAACCAAGCTCCATCWTAYATTAAACATCTTATTGTTCCATACTTTCCTAACAGAGCACTTCACTCTCAGACTGCAGGTTTACTTGTGGTTCCTCGAGTTTCTAAAAGTAGAATGGGAGGCAGAGCTTTCAGTTATCAAGCTCCTCTCTTGTGGAACCAACTTCCAGTTTCTGTCCGTGAGGCTGACACTCTGTCTAAGATTAGACTGAAGACTTTCATTTTTGATAAATCCTATAGTTAGACTTAGGTTTCCTGAATTATTCTTCRTTTCTGCTGCTATAGACAGAYTGCTGGAGCACAAACTGAGCACATTTCACCCTTCATGTTTGTATTTATATTTTTAAGAAGCATTTCTCTTTGTCTTTCTTGTAGAAAATAAACCTGGACCAGTTTGTGTGTCTCTTTCCTGTCCTCTCAAACCCAGTCGATCAAGGTAGAYGGCCGCTCGTCCTTGTTCTGGYTCTGCTGGAGGTTTTGTTCCTGTTCAAAGAGAGTTTTTCCTTTCACCTGCTGCCAATGCGCCACTCAGGATGGGAAACTTTCAGGTGAAGATTCAACGCAGTACTGACACTTTTTATTTATTGACACTTTTTATAATGGACAGTATGCGCATGTTTTTRTACAGTACCGCAACTTGCTGCTATAAATTAATTGAACTGAATTGATTTTTTCATCATATATTCAAACTGTTTTAGTATTTTTGCTTCTTTCCCTCCATCCTTCTGCAGTGTAAGCCTCTAACCGATTACCTCCACTGTCAACCGTGTCAGGGACCGAGATGTGAGACAAAATAGAAACAGAGGSTTGTGGTAAACAGGATGAGAGGCAGCCTGCAGGACTGATGGCACTGATTCACGAGGTCCACTTGTTCRACGCATCTGTGCTCAAAACGGGAAACAGAACTACTTAAAAGGATCTGGAAGGTAAGTGGGTGCAAGTGGACAGAGCCTGCAGAGGGAATACACTGAATCTATTTGACTCGGAGCATGTGATAGGAAAAGACATGTCTGCACATWAAGTGCGCAGAATGGGTGGATGAGAGGAAAGAATGAGCTTCTGGGAAGAAAAATSTGATGAGAAAAAAATGTAAGCACACGCTTTCACTTCTGTATGAGGCCATGACCACAAATGTGTAAACTATCCATGTAATGTCTGCAAAAACAGATTTTCTAAAGTGTTTGGG